TTTCACTAAATTACTTCAAACAAATTAGGCAATGACAATGGATTTTAAGTCTTAAAAGGGTCTGCCCAGTTCCACTCCTATAAATGTAAAAATACAAAGTGCTCATGAGTTTTTGCTTCCTCCTCTCCCCAAGACTCATATGTAAATACTAAGTTCCCTATTTTAAAGGGAATTCTGTGATTACAGATTCTCAAATTGGGAGTACTCATTTACATGAAATGCCCTTTTTGTTCATTACTTACCCAAAGGATCACTTCTGCTTTCCAGTTTGCATTTTGCTGAATAAAATTTTCTCAAGACAACCTTGAAAGATAAAAGTTTAGGAGCAGTTTGCAATTTCTAATCAAATATGCAATTAATATCTTCAAAACACTGTTAGACAAGTAGTTTACAGCCCCACCCCTGATTCTGAAATTGTTAACACTGGCATTTGTCAGCTTTTCCCAAAATGTTATTCCTGACAATATCAAATGCATTCCTGTTCTTCTGCATCTCCTAAGGTAACACACCTTACACACTGAGTGGCACCTTTACCAGCTCCTTGTGGTTGTGGCCTATGTCATGCTACCACATAAGATAAAGGTGTTCATTACTTGCATTTTAATGCTGATGCATCTTTACTCAGTTTTAAAAGCCAGACTATTCTCCTGCCTGTCTATTTGAAAAGCTTCTATTATGTTAGCTCATATATGTTGATAGTGTTTTGCCTTCAGAGCTCCATACAAAAAACCAAAACTGACTGTAAATATTTCCTGAGGAGGAATATTTGTTCATTAATTAGTTAAGAGTAGGCTCCTTCTTATACATTCACTGACAGACATGAGAATTTTAAAGCTCTCTCCCTTTTATCAGACTACAGGCTGCAGCCTTCTAGTTTAGTGAGGAGAAAATAATTATTTACAAAGATTGAGTATCTGTTAATGAAAGTAATAGCTTCACAAAGAGACCTGCTGCCTGGAGTCACTGTTAGTACAGAACAGACTATCATCACTTTTAGTCATCTATGGAAATACTTCTAGAGTTTTCTGACTTCCTTATGGGTAGTTAACAACAAATTGGTTACCTCATAGGCAGCAGGGTCACCGGGGCAAATGACAAACTGCACTTCTCTCTTCTTCTTAGGATGTACCCTGGCAAAATTTAAAACTGCTTCAATCATGGTGTCTGCCACTGTGTCAACAGGCAGCTTTGGTGACCAATTTATTGGAAAAGACACTGAGGGACATGAGTTTTCCTGAAAATGACCCAGGCATCTTTTCACTGCATCCTTCAATTCCTGCAGGAAAAACAAAGTCCTTCAGTCCTCACATCACCCAACATGAGAATGCACTGAGATCCAAAGTAAGTGATCATCACCTCAAGCTGTAGCACCGGGTGCTGGTACTGCAATAGCACATGCAGGACAAAGGTAGAGAGCAGCTGATGGGTTCCCATTATCAGGGGCTCCTTAAAATGTGTCAGATGTCTAAGATGATGATGAACTTCCTTCCGAAAAGCTGGATCCTCTTTTTCCAGCAGTCTTGAAGACTGAGAGGAAAGCCCATCCCTGGCATTCATGAGGTTAATAATAGCTGTATTCTGCAAGGAAAGAGTGTAAATTTCAGTGTACTACAAACTGACTATTTGCAAGCCTTGCTATTATAGAGAGCATTTTTTCTAAGCACAATTCCTGTACAGAGACCTGACTGCCACAGATCAGCTGCTTGAATTTTCCTACTACTTACTACTAGAGCACTGGAACACATCAAAGTATGCACTTTGCAGTGCCAGTTCAGGAACCAACAGTGTGCACAAAGCTGTTCCAGTCATCAAGAGCGCACTGAACAGAATTATTACTCTCACTGTCTAAGTGACCCACGTGCCAGTTATCAGCAGGAGAGAACTATGGATGTGGCTGTCATCCCAGCCTCAGGGTAGCAAGGACACATCACCAAATAGCAGTGGCAGTACACATAAGGGAACTGCAAAGCTGTGATTGTTTCCAATACAAATTGTTTCCAATGGAAAAAGCAGATTCCCATAGTAGGTGCCCTGTATTTAAAATATCAAAACCACAAAAAACTTGTTTACAGAATGCTGATAACAGCAGTAATTGTTCTAACCTTAACTGTTGAATATTATCTAAAGACACAAGAACATGTTTTCTTCATGGTCTTGAGGGCATGTGCATCTTTCAGTGCTGTAGAATTGGTTAATAAAATTCCCTGCAAGATCAACTTTGCAATCCTTTGTTCTTACACCAAAAAACCAAACTTCCTTTTAAATTATGATACTTCTTTAAAATAAAAATGTATTTATTTTTAAGATATAGTATTTGCTAAAAGTAAATGCCATTCCTGTGATGTACCTTGCAGTCTAAGAGAACTCTGTTGAATTCCTATGACTGAGGTCATCTATTTTGCATCAGATTTTCTAGCTAAAAAGTTAAACAATTCAAGTAATGCTCTATTTAAAGGTAAGGTGCACATCATCTGTGTAAGTTATTTTCTGCTGTTTCAGTGTTTGCTGAATAATTCCAGTAATGGAGTTACACGAACATAAATTATAGGAAAAAAAGCAAGGCAGGAAATAAGAGACTACTTGTCTGGAGTACATTATAAAATGTGAACTCCTACATAATTAGAAGATAAATCTTAACACAGAGATGTATTATTAAATCATTCAATCTTTATCTGCTTCCTGTTATAACAGCATGTATACAAAAACAAAATAAAAACATTTCAAAGTTCCATACCCATTTAGACAAAAACCAACTCCTTGCTACTATGATTTAATTACTATGTGTAAATTCTCGTCAAACTGACAAGAAAACCATTTAGTGGACTGATACAAAATGTGTTCTGAACTCTTGGGCTCCAAATCCTGCAAAGACTTGGAGGCAGCACCGTGTTGCACAAATGACAGGACAGACTCACCTTCAGATCTTCGGGGTGCTGTTCTATGATGCGCATGCGAATGTTTTGATGCACGAGGTGAGGTGAGCTTAGTGCAGCTGGCACAGTGTCTTCAACTGAACTGGTATCACCCAGAAACTCTTCACAGGCCTTCTTTATTGCTGCCACTGTAGACTCCTCAATGTTCACCAGGCGGATTTCCCTGAGACTGCCTGGTGGATTTGTCTCAACAAACTCCTTTACAGCCATTACAATCACTTTAGAACACAAATCAATTGGGAAGGCATAGATACCTGAACTCACTGCTGGGATAGCCACAGACTTTAAAGCTCTTCCTGGAGCACTAACATAACGCAGAACATTCAAAATAGCATTGTGAAGCAGATGACAACATCTTTCCTTTTCGCGAATATCCCACCTTGGACCAACTGCATGAATAATTACTGTACAAGGAAGCTTCCCTCCACCTGTAACTGCTATGTCACCAACTTTGACTTCTCCATAGCTACGAACATAAAGCTTGCTTTCCTTTTCTATTTCTGGCCCTCCAGCTTTTACAAGGGCAAGAGCAAGACCTGCTGCATGTTCAAGATACCCATTGGCTGCATTCACCACAGCATCGACCTTGTGTCTTGTGAGATCATCCTTATAAACACAAACGTCAATGCCCCACTTTACTTTTTTCCTGTATACTTCACCAGTGCTTTTTGCTGCTTTTCTGAAGGCCAACGTACAAGCAAACCTTTTGGAAATGAGATTATTTAGACAGTTTTCTCTTCTCTTAAGAGCTTCATAGGCATCTTTACTGATGGGCATCATCAAATTGACTTCATCCATTATGAAATTTGACCCTAGGACACAGAATATAAAGTGAAATAGAAGGTATTACTAACAAAACATTTATTTTTGTCTAGAAGTGTGGTTTATAGCTCTCAATTTTATCCTACTGTCATTGCTAAACAATATTTTTTTACACACTCTAATCTTTTCTCTCCCCTTTTCATAGGTTTAGAGAACCCAAGGAGGTTCATTTAACTGTGCCATAGAAATCTTATACTGAGTTTTAATTCAGTGAGTCTATTAGTCTGCACTTAAAGCCCACAAGCAAATTCCTTCTTTGTATGGAACTTCGTATGAACTCAGAAAAGCTTTTAAAAGCACATTTTAAGGAACAGTTTTTACAGTATTACTATGGCTATAGAGCCCTCTCCTGGCAGATGTCAGCAGTACTAAACTACAGCAGTTATGTTAATTAGTTTAAATCAATTTGTGTGAGTTTAGTTGAACTTTCCTCCGGGGTATACTACCTGCTTGTAAAAAGTCAGACGTTTTGCACTTATAAAGTATACATGCTGACTCATTAAAAGACATCTGAGCTCTTGCTTTTAAAAGAGAAATGCAAGAAAGTCCTGTTGAAGTAATTAATAATAATGTTGATTCATAACTGTGTCTATTTCACATTAGTTATGAATTTCAGGTTGCTTTTGGCTTTTGTTTTCCAGTTTGCTGGCAGTAGCTGTCAGTTTTCAACTTACATAAAAGTACACACTCCGCAGATGGCAAAACGAGAGGCTTACCTAAAGCGGGCTTCCCTCTGAGGAAATCTGAAACGTAACTCTATTGTAACAAAAAGAGAAAAAAAGGAAAAGAGAAAGTAAATGTTACAAGCAATAAAGTACGTGACCTGCCTTCCTACAAGAGAGATTCTGCTGCAAATCAAACCAGCACCAGTTTTCGAACATCTATACGAAGTTTTCTAGTGTTTAAAACGCTGCTGGGAGCTGCGGGAGCTCTGCGGGTGAAGTTACCCTCAGGTTCCTGCAGCTCCGGCTGACTCTGAGCAGTGCGAGGCCGGGCGGAGCCATTCCCGAGCGCCGGGCCACGGGACGGGACTGCTGCGTTCCCCTCAGCCCCGCCGGGAGCTCCCGCCGCCCCCGGAGCCCTGAGGCAGCCGCCGCCCCGGGCCCCTGTCCCCCTGCCCCGCTCCTCTACCTGGACGATCCCCATCTCGCTCAGGGCGGATCCGCAGCGCTCGGGGCTGCGGGCGGAGCGGGAAGCGAAAGCGAAAGCGAGCGGCGGAGCGCGAAACGAAAGCGAAAGCGGGCGGCGGGGCGGTGTGGGATGATGGCGGCCGCGCCGCTGCTGGTGCGGCTGAATCCTGCGCCCACCCCCGCCGACAAGGCGATCCACAAGCTCCTGAAATACTTCCAGTCGGGAAAGCGGTCGGGGGGCGGCGAGTGCAGCGTGCGCCCGGGCCCCGAGGCCGGCACCTACTGGGTGGACTTCTCTAAGGAGCAAGGTACGGGCCGGGCGTGGGGGCGGCTGTGAGTGGACTGGAAATGGCCGCCAGGCACCATTTAGTGTCCCTGGGCAGGGCGGCTCTGGGGCCGCGGGTGGACCATCACGTTTGCAGGTAACTTTATCAGCCCTATCTGCCTTTGTCCAAATTAAGAAAGGGTCTCATTAATGCATATAAATATCCTAAGGGCGTGCCAGACTTTTCGGTGGTAGCCAGCCACAGGACAAGGAGCAGAGGGCATAAACTAGAACACAAGAAATTTCACCTTAACATGAGGAAGAATTTCTTTACATCGAGGGTGGCAGAGCAGTAGGACAGGCTAGCCAGGAGAGTCGTGGCGTCTCTGTCTCTTGACACATTCCAGATGACTCTGCCTTGCTCCTGAAGTTGGGTGGGATGATCTCCAGAGGTTCCTTCCTGCCATAACAGTTCTGTGATTCTGTCATTCTGAAATTACCACAGATAGGAAGCGTGTGGAATCCCGCTCAAAGCACACCTTGGAACTGGATACAAGATGCTGCGAGATAGTCATCCTGCCGGGAGAAGGGGCCCCGGGCAAGAGCCGGGTTACAGCGCACGCCTCTGCCGGCCACAGCAAAGGCACTGCCGGCCCGGCCCTGCCCCAGCAGCAGCAGCGGGACAGCGGTGGCTGTGGGGCCACAGCAAAGGAAGACCTTACCAAAAAGGTGCATCAGGAACAGCAATGTCACAACCTGCCCCACTTGTAGTTCCATGAGTTCTTTATGTTGCACTTAAATATTTTGTGTCAAAAAAAAAAGTCAATTATGTGATCTTAGATAATGGAATGGGGGCCAGGAGTGACATTTGAGTGCCAGACCAGAGGTCAATCTACACATGTTTACAGGAAGCATGGTTTCCAGCCTGACTCTGACAGGTGCCAGCCTCTATTCCCCAAAGCAGCACTCTGGCAGGTTTCAGGGGTAGTGTGCACCAAGGGCTGCTCTCAAAAGGTAGAAGAATTGTCTGAGATTTGGGTCCTTTCCACCTGCACCTACTCTTCCACCTACCTTTCACCTACTCTTTCCAGCCTTCCACCTACTCTTTCAACATGGTTTGCACCTTGAGGCAACCCTAATTATCTCCATCTCTTCAGCATTAAAAAAGTCTGCTGTGATGCGATGTAGCACCGCAAACATGATTTCAGACACTTTGAACCAAAAGTTACGCAGAAAAGATCAGCTGTGTTTAGGGATATGGGATGGGGCAACATGGTGTGGATGTGGCTCATGATATCTGGCTTAGAGGGCTTTACCCTGTTCTGCTTGGTAACATAGGTGTAGCTTTTGAAGTATAGCATGGGTTAACATAGTGTTTACCTGGCATCTATACTGCAAATTTCCCCATCACGCTGTCTGTGTGAAGTACAGAAGGGAATGTGTTCATTATTCTTTTTCAGAATACTGTTTTCTGCCCTAACTCTTGGAGTTATTAAAGCATGACTTCTGGGAAAATTTTAAAGAAAGATAATGAGTGAAAATATTTCAAAGTCGTGTTAAAACAACATGTTTTAACATGACTTGTAAGTTATATTTCATTGCTCTAATATTAATAAGAGCAATGAAATATAACTTACAAGTCATGTTAAAACATGTTGTGTCTGTGTAACCTGGCTCTAAGGGGATAGATACTATTTTGGGTCGCAGTCTCAGCCTAAATAGCAGAGTTACTGTCTTTCCTTCTGCAGTGCTGGTGACATTAGGGCATTTCATTTTTGCTGCTGACTTAGAAGCAGATTGTGCTATTTGCCTGTTTGTACTGTTAGTGTATGTGACATAAAAGAAATACTGTGTGCAAACTTGTTTGTAGTAATCTGGCACTACTGGGATGGACAGAGCTTCTCCCTGCTGAAAATACAGAAGTAGCCAGCAGAGAACCTTAGAGAAAACTAATGTTGATGTGTTCTTGTCTTTTCTGTAGATATTTCTTACAGTATCTGCTACTTTGAATACCAGTATGTTCACTGAAGACCAAAGGGAGAAAATTACCATTATGTGTCCAAACTTAAAGAGAGAAGGAAGCCCTGGTGTGGATGGCTCTGAGAAATTGACAGGAGATTTTACAGATATTGAAAAAGCTTATCACTACTTTGAAGATATCCTTGCAGGCAAAGACCCAAACCAGGATTTTTCACATTCTGAATGTAAGAATGGTTTGAAAGACGAAAATGGCCTGAATACTGAAGAAACAGTTGAGTTTACAGTTGTGACAGCTCTCTATGAATATTTTATTCATACCCACAAAGAGGAAATCAAAGAACTACATGAAAGGTTTGGAGCATGTATAAGAAGTAAAGGTCACGATGAGCATTACACATTCATATACATATCTTCCAATCAAAGTCCTGCATTGTTACAAGCAGCTAGTGATTCTTTTATCAGAACCTTCCAGGAAGCTACAAAAGATCTGACGCAGGAAAAAGTTCCCATAACAAAGATTGACACATTAGAAGAGACAATAGTAAAATTAAATAAAAAGTTTAGAAATCTTCTTGCTAAAGAGGAAGGGAATCAGTTGCTACTCCGAGGTTCAAGGAATGAGATTTCAGCTGCCCAAATATTTCTAGCAGGGGAAGGTGAGAACAACCAAGCTGAAAAGAATATGAAAATATCATCTCAATGGTACAAATACAGGGATGGAATTGAAATTGATGCTTCGGTGTTTAAAATGTTGGAAACCATACTAAGCGAAGAAATTGAAAACATAAATGGCAAATTTGATACACTGGTAGAAATAAAAGAGAAGTCATATGGCCAGAAGGCCGTAATATTTAGGCCTAAATCTGAAACTTCTGATATGTCATCACATGCTACTGAAAGTTTTATCAGTGCATTTCAGAGTGCCTCTGCTATGTTAAGAGAAAAAGGCATCAGCGTGAAGCTTTCAGAAGATCAGAAGAAAACTTTAGGTGTGCTGCCTAATGCTAAGAAATTTGAAGACCTTAATGTAAAACTTCAGAAGAATGAAGTTGCTGAAAAGTACACGAAGCCCCTTCTTAACACTGAAGGGACACAAACTATAAATAGGGCACCACTGTCCTCTGGCTTCAGCTCTCAAGAAGCTACAGGAGCATCTAAGTCCAGTGATAGGCAAAAGAATAACCTTTCTTCTGAGGGACAGACTCGGGCAAAGACAGAAGAAAAAGAAGATGATGAATGTCCAATTTGCAGGGACAAAATTGAAAATAAAGAAATATTAGAAAAGTGCAAACATGCATTTTGCAAAGCTTGCATTGACAAAGCCATGGTTTATAAACAAGCTTGTCCAGTTTGTAATACTGTCTGTGGAGTCCTGACAGGAAACCAACCAGAGGGAAGAATGTTAACTAGAACTAACAGTTCGTCTCTTCCTGGTTATCCCAATTGTGGCACCATTGAAATTAACTATGTTATGAATGGTGGTATTCAAACTGTAAGTATGCTTAAATATTTCCTAAAGATATTTTCCCCACAACAAAACCAATATTGAATACAAAATTAATTCTTTTCCCATTACTTGAATGCATGTTCAGGGAGGACATTTCTTTATTTTGTACAAATCTGCAAGTGTTTAGTTCAATCTTTTTGGGCATGATTAAGTTAATACAGTAGGAATGAAATAGTCAGATGATCAGCCTCCATTTTATATGCACCAGGACAGAGATACCTGTCTTTAATTTGTACAGTGGGAGTAACTGAACTGAAATCTATGCAGTGATATCATGTAAGCAAAATATAATGAGAATTTCTGGGATGTTCTCTTTGCTGTGGACACCAATGGACAAAAATGAATAGTGGGCTGGTTTGGTGAGAGCTTTCCAGGTGAGATATCTCCTTATGTTAATGTGCCTGGATTCATGACTAGGACTGAGAATGGAGTAAATTAAAAAAGTCACAGGTGCAGCACCATGCATTTGGGAGAGAAAAGAGGGAAAAACAAATTTAAAACTAGCAATGGGTGCATGAGTGATGACAAGAAAGTGTGAATGACATTTGTACAAAATAAAGTATCTAAAGAGAAAAAACTCAGAATTAGTTATCAGTCATGCTATGTCCTTCTGAATGATTTATGATATACAGTGTGGGTTTGTTTTGTTTTTCTACAAAACAGAGCAGCCACCCAAACCCAGGGCAGAGTTATGGGCCAGTTCGCCGAAAAGCATATTTACCTGACAATGAGGAAGGGCGAGAAATTCTGCAGCTCCTCAGAAGGGCCTTTCGACAGAAATTGATTTTCACAGTGGGGCAGTCACGTACTACTGGTGCACAAAATGTTATCACATGGAATGATATTCACCATAAAACTGCCATTGATGGAGGACCTACCCAGTAAGTAGTCTTGTCTTTATGCAATACTGTTGTTACTCAGATGTGTCAGGAAGACTGCCTTGAATATCTTCCACATTTAGAGCTTTCACTAACAGAGTGATTGTGGAATGCCCTATGGATCCAGATGTTAACCACCTTCCCCTATTTGGACAGTTGGAACAAGGGTGATCTTAGTGTTCTGCTGCCCCTCAGACTACTCATTCCCCAGTGAGTTTGTAAGGTACTTAGTTAATAACTGCTTTGATTAGAATCTACAGGACAGCAAGCTTTTGATGACACCTAAGGTTGGATTCCTGATCTATGCCTCTCCTGTTACCTGCTGTTCTGCACCAGGAGGTGCTGGTCCATTATGATCCTGGTAAAGATGGCACTCATCATGTTGTAAAATGTGATTTGAAATTCTGCTTAGCAGAGCTAACAGCAGGAAGTGAGATTGTAGTGCAGATATGGTCGTGTCCTTTTAGATGCTAGGAGCCAAGTGTTGTGCAGCACTTGGTGGGTCAGAACCCAGGACACAGTGCCAGCCCCAGCCATAAAAAGGGTTACCCCATTTTGGCCATTCAAGCTGTGAGAGGATTTTCTGAGTGGGTAGATGACCGCCCTATCCAGTATTTCTTGAGGATGTGCTGTACTTAAGTGAAAGGAGCAATCACCAGGACAGAGTGTGAGCTGCCTGCAGCAGAGACAAGGGGGAATCTTGGACCAGTCCTTTCAAGCTTGTTGCAACCTGTAAGGGATAGGTGGTATCTTGCAAGCTTTAAAGGCTCATGTCTAGATCCTCCTGACTGGGCTAGGATCATTAAAAGAGCAAAAAATATCAGTTTTACTTTACTCTTCACTCTGTGCAAATCCTCTCTCTTGCTTATCACGTGCTTCATATGCAGTTCTGGTGTTGCACTACTTCAAGTCCAGAGGTGCCATTGTCTTTCTGATTTGAAGGCTCACTTGGATATGCTTCAGGTCTGATTTTCTTTTTAAAAGATATATACCCAAACACCCTATCATTTGGAAGGGAGACCCCAGGCAGCTTTGAAAATCAAGTTCTTAGTATCAATTTGGACAACAAAATGTAGCAGCTCCTTAAGTTTGTAGCTTTATGGTGTCTGTATCGTTTCTGTGACTGGCAATATGGGTCTGTTTTCTCTCTAGGGCAAGAACTGCATAAAATTTCTAAAAAGACTTTGATGAGATGGTTTTGTAGAATTGTCAAGTCCTTCATTACAGAAATAGCCCAAACAATTCTTCTCTTCTTCTCCTAGGTTTGGTTACCCAGATCCTTCTTATCTGCAGCGTGTTCGATCAGAATTGAAAGCAAAAGGAATTGAATAAGGGAATCTATCAACTCTCAACTCTTAAGTGCAATGACTAAACAAACATATAGCAGTTAATGTGCTATTCAAGCTCTGAGGGAAGTTGCTTTGTTTAACTACCTACCTAAATTGCTTGTATTTCACAGTTAGCTAAGAAAAGTAATCTTTTCTCATCAAACAATGTACGTTCTTTGCACAAATCATTTACTTCCTATATATGTAGCCTTTACAAAATTTGGTTCTTGGGAGTGTAGTATCAGTTCTGTTTGCACTTTGTGTATCTTGCTTTACTAGCAAATCTAATTGGCCCTTTTCCCCACAACTCTCCAGTCTGATTTCCAAAACCCCTTAGATCCACTACTTTTATTAGATGAAACATTTCTCTTAGCTTTGCATTATGATGTCTGCCAGCATGGCTGGCATCATGTAACCTAATCTAATCTAAATCTAAAATTTGTATACAAATTTGTATGCAAATATGTAATCTAATCTAAAATTTGTATGCAGCTATGACAGTGTTAGCTGTGATAAGGTTATGGACTTTTGCTTATTTTCACGGTAAAAATTGCCTTAGTGATTTGGGTTTTGCATGTGAAATTAGCCATGGATCATGTACAAGTGGGTACATGGATGCTGAGCTCTGCAGAAGTGCTGAATGCTGAGAGCTGTGTTGGAGCTGTGGGAAGTAACAGTGTCTGTGTCCATATCTGACAGTGGGCTCCTGGTTCTGTGCCTGCCATTGTGCTTAAACTTGACTACAACTTTAAAATCACTTTTTCAACTATAAAACTGTATTCTTTCAATTGCTTCCAATATAGGTTTAAATTGTATCATAAAGATACTCTGCAGTGCTTAAATAACCTGCTAATTATCTGTGTGGTGGTATGTCACACAGACATGATTTTTAGTAAGTTGAACCATTTCTCTAAGGCTACTGAGGACAACTAATAAAGAAAATGCAAAAATACCATGTGTGTTTCTTCTGTACGGGTTTTTCCTCCTTTTTGCAATACATATAGCTGTATATATTTTTTAGATTTAGGAGCTTCCCTGCAACACCATGTTTTGGGGCAGTTTGGGCTCCATGCCACCCCTCTTTTTTAAAATGTATTACTTTGGGGTTTTTTATTATTTTAAGATTCCCACACTGTCAATAGGCACTACAACTTTGCCACCTTGACTTTCAGGTTTAGTAAGAGTGGGCACCATTTGGTTTCCATGTGGGTTGGGATGTCTTTCCCGCCCTGGTTTTGTGTTACTGTATTTGTTTTAATATTTTACATTATTCCATGCAGTAAAATAGCAGAGGAGGCAGTAAAATACCAACACTCCAGTTGTTTCTAAGTGACTGAGCTTTTCTGCACACGGAAACAAGCTGTCACTTGGGACAGTGCCTTAGGAAATAACAGAAATAAGTTGCCCACCAAGAAACAAAGGCATCCCCATGAGTCATTCAGCAGAGTATCTGATGAGACCTAGATGTCATCCTAGCTGGTTGCTTATAATTTTTAGATACATTTATGTGTCCATTTCTTAAATGAATGTTCAGTGGAATGAGGGGGGAAAACTTCATATATCTGCTATTTTAGTGTCCCATATTTGGCCACAAGGGTAAAATACGCAGCACAAAAAGTTTGTTTGAAAACAAACCTTTGCAAGAGAAAGTCCTGAGCACTCGGTTGAAAACTTCTCAGCTAGCTGAAAAGTTAGTCTGAAGTAAAGAGCCATTGCAACCTTCCACGGTTGTGGAAGCACCTCTGGCAAAGAATGATGGAAGTGGTAATTTTACTTTGCATCATGACTTCATTTGAAGGGGTAAGGGAGGGAGAGCGAGTGTTAGCCAGTGGTTAAGCAGTGTAATTTCAGAGACTGAAAGCACTGTGACACTTGGCTCTTGTGCGGCTCTGTGGAGGCGCCGAGGCCTGTCCTGCCCCGTGAAGAGGCGCGGCGGAGCCCG